GGATCCCAAAAGGGACCCTAAGTTAGAGAACTACCCAGAGCCCAGATGATGCTACTGCTACCGCCGGAGGCTCACAGTCATACCTTGCGCATCATGCATAGGGTTTGGGGTTTTAGGGTCTAGGGTTTGGGGTTTAGTGTTTTGGGTTTAGGGTTTGGGGTTTGGGGTCTTGGGTCTAGGATTTGGGGTTTTGGGTTTGGGGTAATCTCATGCTTACTTACGAGCAACACATACAGACCTCGATGCAGTCATGCATGCGTACATATCTGTGTAGGAACATGATTCCTGCTTCGTCTACACATCATATCTGTATAGATACATGCATGTGTATACTGTGTACACATGTAGCAGCTAAACAACAACCCACCCAAATTGCGCATGAAATAGTAGCACCTAGCCTGGCAACACTCCCAGATAAAGAAATATCGCATAGCCGAAACGATCCCCCAAACCCAAGACACAAACGCTAAGCTGGAGTATAAACCCTCATAAAATCTTCCTTAATTAAACCCTACTAAACTCTAAACCCGAGCCTTAAACCCAAAACCCTGAAACCCTGTAGAGACAAACCAACTTACATGAACACCAGGGATCTTATCTGGCTCCTTAAACCCTAAACCCTAAACCCCTAAACCCTGAACCCTGAAACCCTAAACACCAAAACCCTAAAACCCTAAACCCTTAAACCCTAAACCCCAAAACCCTGAAACCCCTAAACCCTTAAACCCTAAACCCTTAGAAACCCTAAACCCTTAGAAACCCTAAACCCTTAGAAACCCTAAACCCTAAGAAACCCTAAACGCCAGGGATCTCATCTGGCTCCAGCGCGCGTCCGCGGATGCTCCAAAGGAGGCGGAGAGCCGGCTCCCAGGATCCGGCCTTCGGGCTTTTATTGTTTAGGGTTTAGGGTTTAGGGTTTAAGGTTTACTTTTAGGGTTTAGGGTTTAGGGTTTAGGGTTGAGGGATTTTAGGGATTAATGTTCAGGGTTTAAGGTTTAGGGTTTAAGGTTTAGGGTTTTCCTAATGTTTAATGTTTAGGGTTTAGGGTTTAGGGTTTTCCTAATGTTTAGGGTTTAAGGTTTGTTTTTGGGGTGTAGGTTTTTTTTTTAGGGTTTAGGGCTTAGGGATTTTAGGGTTTAGGGTTTATTTTGAGGGTTTGGGGATTAGGGATTTTAGGGTTTAGGGTTTAGGGTTTAATGTAGGGGCCTTAATAATTAGAATAGGGCTGCTTTCAAGGGTTCCTTTAAAAGGGATACTATAAGGGTTA